TGGGAAAAAATAAAATAAGGAAAAAAAAGGAAAAGCAGAAAAAACGATGTAAGATTGAATTTCTAGTGAAGCCCCTCGGTCCCTCGGTCCTACCTGTAGGCAGCCCGCGAGCTTCTCCAGGATGGTGGCGAAGTCGGGCCGCTGCGGGGGCTCCGGGTGCCAGCACGACGTCATGATGGCGTACACGAGCGACGGGCAGTTGGGCGGCGGCTCCAGGCGCCCGCCGGACACCACGAGCGACATGACGTTGCGGTTGGCGCATCCCGTGTACGGCATGTAGCCCAGGGACATGACCTCCCAGAGCAGCACGCCGTACGACCTGATCACGACCAAATCGGCACAGTTTTTTTTAAAAAATTATTTGTACACGACATGATAAAAAGCGGTGCGAATATTTTGGATTTGTAGGGCCAGCTATTTATTACTAACACCAGTGCAATTTTTTTTTCAGCTGCCGGAACTCTTTTTCCAGCCGTAGAGCACAAAAATGTCATGTCGGACGCGGAACTCGGTGGACTCACCAGACGTCCGTCTTCGTCGTGAAGATGCCGTCCAGGAACGCCTCCGGCGGCATCCACTTGATGGGCAGCATGGCCTTGCCCCCCTTCCGGTAGTAGTCCGACCTGGAACCGAGCGCGCTCTTTGTTTAACAAACCGAAAACACACGATAGTCTGCGACCGCGGGGCTCACTCAAACATTTGGCGCGCTTACATGTAGACCTCCCTCGCCATGCCGAAGTCGGCGATCTTGACGATGCGCCCGGGGGTCTTGGCCGTGAGCAGGCAGTTGCGCGCCGCAATGTCTCGGTGGATGAAGCGGTTCTCCTCCAAGTACTTGCAGCCCTTGGCCACGTCCACGCAGCACATGAGCAGGTCCTTCATGTTGAGGGCGGACGGCCGGTCCTGCCGAGAGAGACAGAGAAAGACCTTGTTGACGATCCTATCTATAAGCCACGGGGCTGTCTCTCTGGACGCGGCCTCTTACGTTTCGCGGCCTGGACTCTCGCAGGAAGGTCTTTAGGTCGCCGCCGGACAGCAGCTCCAGCACGATGTAGCGCGGGTGCTTGTCGAAGCACACCCCGATCAGGTGCACGATGTTCGGGTGGTTGAACTTGCCCATGATGAGTGCCTCCAGCATGAAGTCGTTCTCGGCCTGCAGCGTGGAGAGCTCGGGCAGCGTCTGGACGAGAGACGTGCGTTATTGGGATAGAGTCCACCATAACAGTACGAGCAATTTAAAAAAAACACATTTGACCTTTCTAGCGTGTGTTTACCTTGACGGCGACGGGCATCTCGACGGCGTCGCCCGGCCGCATCTTGTACAGGCCCTCGTACACCTCGCCGAAGGCGCCCTGGCCGAGCGCGCGGGTGAGGCGCAGGTGCTCGCGCGGCACGTCGCGCAGGTCCTTGAGCGTGTAGCGCTCGCCGGCGAACTCGTAGTTGGGGTTGGTCTCGGTCATCAGGTCGTTACGGAGGTTGCGCAGCTGCAGGTCGGCGCCGCTGGGCGTCTTGCGCCGCAGCTGCAGCTCCTTGCGCTTCTGGAACTTGTTGTCTGCGGAACGAGGAGGACACCCCGGAATAGGGTCAGGTAAATACCGTAAAAACGCTCAAAAATCGGTAGTTTTACGAAAAACTCTAACTTTTCCTAAAAAAATCGGGAAAATGTTCATCCTTCCGGAAAAATTTTGTTGATTTTTACCCACTCAAAAAAAATTGAAAATTTAGCAACCAAAAATTTTCTGAACACTTGTTGCTGCGAAAATGTTTTTCTGGAAATTCTACCCTGTCTATTCGGGAGGAATAAAAACTATACTCACAGGTGTAAAAGGCAATGGCGGACAGCAGGATGAAGAGGACCACGACCAAGGTCACGAGGCCGACGAGCACGTAGTCGGCGATGTCCTGGCTCTCCGCTGCAAGCAAATGCGTGAGATTATTCTCAATGCCCTCTCTCTCTCTCTCTCTCTCTCTCTCTCTCTCTCTCCCCCTCCCCCTCTCTCCCTCGCACTCACGTTTGCAGGTGTTGCCGTTGACGCGCTCCCCGGGCGGGCACACACACTGCACGAGCGAGCGCTTGGCGTTGAGCGCCGCGCAGTGGTACTGGCAGTCGCAGCCCTTGATGCCGGGGATGATGATGACCTCCCCGGGCCCGTCGTGCGCCATGGGGGTGACCTGCCGCTGCGAGCCGGCCAGCACCACGGAGTAGCCGCCCTCGCCGTGGTAGAAGCGCTCCGTCCACGCGTTGCCGCCTGCGAGCATGACGCCAGTGAGCAAGAGCACAGCAGACCCGATAGCCCGAGACAACAACCCGCAACAACCCCCGAGGCCGGAGATAGACAGTAAAAATAATACTAATAAGATATTCGCGAAAAATTGTAATCTTTCCAGGAAAATTTGAGTTATCTTTGACAACTCAGAAAAAATACAGGCTGGTCCACAGACCCCTTCCTTTATTTTCCTTATACTGTACCGAATGCAGGCGGGTGGGCGGGCTTGCCTACCATAGCTCGCCGTAGCGCCATATGGCCCCGTATGGGTATGCAACCCGGCCGCAGGCCTGCATCCGGTACAGTATAAGCAAAATAAAGGAAGGGGTCTGTGGACCACCCTGTATAAATCTGCAAACAAAATTTTTCCCCATATTTTTGTGTTGAAAGTATTTTTCTTTGCTCACCCGAGTAGCCGCCACCGCCACCGCCCGCCGCGCAGCCACCGCCGCCGCCCCCGAAGCCGCCGTCGCCCTTGCCGGAGGTGCTGTTCCTGCAGCCGCGGCCGCCGAGCCCGCCCTGCAGCAGCGACAGCCCCGCGTGGTCCGAGACGTTGGACGCGAGCCAGCCGCCGCCGGGGCCGGCCGGCTGCGTGCCGAAGCCGAGGCCCGCCGTCGCCGCCCGCGTCGCGTTCTCGCCGTGCCCGTGCTGGCGCTCGTCGTCGGGGGCGTGCCCGCCCTGGGCCTGGCCGCTCCCCAGCCCGCCGCCGCCCCCCGCCACCAGCAGCGCCTGCGGCTTGGCGTTCCGCGCCCGCGCCTATGCCCACAAGCAGAACCATAGTATTAGCACCCGATATAGAAAAATCCCCCCAAAA